CCCTCAGAAAAAGCAGATAAGACGATACGATTTCCAGAGTGATCTTCGGAAAAACAAATTTTCCGATCAAGATCAAATTTCGGCCGGTGAATTGTCATAGTTTTACGAGGAAGGGACATGAAACCAATGTGCAATGGTTCGGCACCTTGCATACTTATAGAAGCATGACATCTCATCAGCGACTCCAAGAGGCACCGCACGCACATTGGCACATTATTGCCCAGCCATGAGCAGCCAAATCCCCTTCAATTTTTTGTATATGCAACATGCATCTGCGATCAGCACGAATAGTTGTTTAAAGGTTCGGCGTTGCTTATAGATCGCTTACATTTTTACTGAGTATCCCAAAATCCCAACAAGTTTAAGTTTCTCTAAGAGTAGGTAAGTTGAAATGAGAGGCACTATGCGGATAGTTTTTATAACCTGAATGGCTGGACAGGGTTTGGATATTTGAGATAAATTAAGAGGATTGTCAGTGATTATTTATCTCGGCAAAAGCCACATCTGAAAGAGGATAAATATGTATGAGTATAAATTTCCTATGTCGAATTATGTAAAATCAGCGACGAAGCGCTGCTCGTATACAGCGCGGTCGAAATTCTTTCATTTAGCCTGGGCGACAAGAGAGAGGGAGCGTATCATTCAGTCGCCATGATATCTGACTCCGTTTGACTCCAGGAAAAATACCCGATTTATGATAATTTAGAGCTTGCCTGATCATTTTAGAAAAATAAAATGAATTCCCAACAATGCCCATCTTTCGGCATGGCCCATGGAAACACAGCTGTTTTCATGAGTGGTTCTATCAAAGGCAAGCTGATCATTGTATAGTGTCAGTCATCTCAAGTTGCTGATACTATTTTCCTTCATTTTAATCAAGTATAATGAATCTAAGAAATCGATTATAGCCTGCGGGTGAGGAAGCCGGCCTCAATTCTTATCGCTTTATTGTTTTGCGGTCATTTCAGTAGACAGCATTTGTGTAAATAATTTGCAAGAATCGTCCTTTAATCAGTGCATGGGATCTCAATCTATTCACCACCCTTAAAGTTTATATTCATAAAATAGCAGTCCAATAACGGCATCCATCTTGTGCAGTTTCCTCCCCTATATTCTTCTTGGAGGTTTAAATGAAGGGTTTGGAGGACGAAGTGCATAAGTGCAGTTTTTGAAAAAAATTGAGATGTTAACGATTTCAAGAAAAACTAGTCTTAATCCATATTCTGTGAAAAATCTGCTCTGAAATTCCAATTTTTACGCATCAAAATGTGAGTTTTAACTTTCGTCTCGGCATGTGGATCCATGTAATTATGAAACTTCCAACACATACGTCTGCAAAAACTGCACTTAAGCGCCTTGTCCTCCAAGGCCTTCAAATAAAGCAAAAACTAGGAATTTGCGCACCAGGGCGAGATTTTCACGGAGGAATGTGCGGGAAAATCCTTTTGCCGGGGGAGATTATTGTATGAAGGAACGCTGGCACCATATCAACCCAAAGAAGCCTTCTGACCTATCACAGCCGTGTAATTGCCTCAACTTTTAACCATCGATATTATCAGATTTATGTGACGGTGCATTAAGATGGGATCAGAGGCAATTTTAAAGAGCTTTGGAAAATACGTGCATGTAAATCCTCAAATATTTTAAAACATCTCTGACGTACTGCCCTGACAATCGCTGAGACCTGGTTTTTCTCGATACTGCTTTCCCGGTAATTCCCTCGCGAGACTGGTATATTTATTACGGAGGGTTTACTTTCAAATAGCGTACATACTGTACAAGAGATTGATGCAGTTAGCTTACATTCTCTATTACAGTGAGTTTATCGCAAGAACTAAATCGCATACAATTCAATTAATTTTTGTGCCAATCGCGGGCGCAAAACCTTATCGCGATCCTTGAATTCCGCGCTCTGAAAATGGCAGGTTATAATTCAAATAAAAATTTGATCACAGCTACTTTTATTAAACTGCACACTTCATACTTTTATAATTGTAGTTTGGTTCAATCTTTATTTACGCTTTTTATTCCTACATTTTCAAAGCTGATGCTTAATTGATCTGAAATTAAGAACTCTATTTTGAAATTTCTTTTAACCGAGGTAATTTTTTCTGTGGACGGTCACATATTCCCTGAAACTGAGTCTGAAAAAGGAGGCGATTTATTTTCTTTAAAAAATGAATTACAGTAAAAAAATAAACCTAATGCAATAAATTGTTGGCACTCAGTGTGCTCATAACAAAGCTGACAGCATCGCGAGTTCGCAGGCTAGGAACGTAGACAAACGCGAGAAACTAGAAAGATGAGGAGGGAACTCTGCCATGCTAGGAAAAAACGACGCATCTCCATTCATTTTCTCATTGGGCTTGCGCGTTTTTAACGCGGCACGGCAGGACTAAGGAGTGTACATCGGCAGGCGGCAGTGCAAGCAAAAAGGAGTTGGCGCGCAGTTTAATACCGTTAGATTTTGATCCTCAGACATGAATCGACCGAGGCGGAGATTTCTATGTGACATATAAGCGAACAACCAATAACAACGTTGCCGCTATATGAAGCTGATTTTGTGAGAGGCTTCTCAGCAAAGTCACTGAAAAAAAATTCTCGGCGTTTTTACCAAGGTCCGTTGGTACCTTTACCATCTCACTTTTTTTACCAATTATTGGTAATTTTACCAAGACAGACTGGTAAGCTTACCTAAAAACCTGTATTTTTACTGTTTTTTCCAGGTAAGAATACCACTTTGATCTGTAATCAATTTCCGGTTACTTTGCCATTTTATCTTGGCAATACTACCACAGTCGATAAAAAATATTGGCGTTTTTACCAAGGTCCAGTAAAATTACCGAGAAAGTTCAATAATTTTACCGAGATTTCTCAGTAAAATTACCAATTCCATGAATGGTAATTTTACAGAGAAAAAACTGGGATCAAATAGAACCCTGAATTCTTGGTAATTTTACCCTTTTCTAAGTTAATACACCGAGGTTTTTCTTTCAGTGAACAATGACCATGATAAAAGGTAGAAATTCCTAGGGATAACGCCCTCTCAAATTGAATCAGTGAGAACGGAAAAACACCGACTCGGTAACTTGAAAATGCTCACTTTTCACTAAGGACAGACAATTTTCATAAAGGTCTTTGAAGTTACCGTATCTGTTCCAACTTGGACATTTAAAGTGTCCTTAAGTACTAGCTTTTCGGCACCAAAAATTTTTTTCTCAGACTAACTTCTTCACCCACTATGCAGTTTTGTGTGTGTCTCAATTATTTTCATTTTTTCAAGTTGGTGTGTTTTCGATCTCAATGATTCAATTGTCTGCGAACATGTTCAACGGTAAACTGGCCCTTGCAATAATAGGTATTTCAATGCTATCCTAACGAACATAGTTAATGATTTGATTGAGACTACTTAACGAATATTCGACATCCCTTGCGATGTAAAGGCTAAAAGGTGGTAAAAGGCTAGAAGGCTAAGGTACTATCGTACATTAACACAGGGGTTTGACGACTGGATGGATACACTTCCTAGAATCGATACTATTCCTGCACAGAAGAGGTTCTCTGGTCTACCTTAAAAATTGAAGGCGAAATAGCCACATGCGGAGCCTCCAGTCTTGCCTTTGCCGTTGCTCGGCACCCTTCGTATATCCGGCTGTATCAACTAAACTGACGGCGCGTCTTTACCCTGCACTCCCTGCTTTTACCCCACTAGCCTAGCTGTCTTCCCCCCCCCCCCCCCCCCCC